CTCCTCCTCCTCCTCCTCCTCCTCCTCCTCCTCCTCCTCCTCCTCCTCCTCCTCCTCCTCCTCCTCCTCGTTCTTCTTCTTCTTCTCCTCCTTCTTCTCCGAAATGACTTGCCAACATGGGACTTTCCAAGGTTCCGAGTTGACCGAGACATTGAAGAGTCAGACAGACTCCTCCAGCGCCTCCGTGCCTGCTACAGCGACTTGTATCAACCCCTGGGTATCGATATCCACGAGCATGAGCTGGGAGTAGGGCAGGATCGCTTCCTACCCGCCGAGATCTCAGGCCTCAGGTATTGGGGGAGAGCGTTGATCGTATTACCGTGCCTTTGATATCCTACCATTCCCTCTTTCTTGAAATCCTTGATTCAGACAAGACCGATGGTTAATGGAAGTATAGAAAGCGTGAGGATGGGAGATTCTGATTCTGGAAAGCTAAATCCCTTCCATCCAAGTCGTCAGCCTTCCGAGTGAGGTAGAGGCGCGCGCCTCGCCTAAACATTCATGACGTACTTGGGCACCAGTCCACGCTTTCTCGGGAGCGTAATGTAGCGACATGTAAATCTGCCACACTTCTGCCCCAGTGATGGCACGGTTTGCTGAGAGGGGGGCAACCAGCACACCATAGCTCCAGTTAAGCTCTCCTCTGTATTCGCAGCTTGGCAAGAAAGACGAGATGGTTCTTGTATTCGCGGTTTCTTTCTGGTATGACAGGGTCTGCGATGGGGAAATCAGACTACCATTCAACTCTAGTACATCATCAACTCTCATTCGCACTTACAGATTGAGAGCCCCCAGCTCCTCGATGTTGTTGGTCAAGCCTTGGCTCGTAAGGCATCTGAAGACGACATCGTTAGTTCCTTATTGTTGAATGATTTCCCCCTGGTTAGTCAACCAACTTGCCGTGGAGCTCTCGGTCAGGATCTTGTCTGAGATAGCCCAGTGAATTCTGGGACACGATTGGGGTATCGATCCTTGGCACGGCCTCGCCAACCTTGACGAAGAGATATCTGCATCTCTGAGAGAGGGGCGCGAGCGCTGAAGGCGAAAGCCCAAGGCGCCGCACTGGATCCAGTCAATATCCTCGACCACATGATGTGGGTTCACAGACACGAACTCAGTTGATATCCTTGAACTTGAGATATCGCTCCGCAGCTGGCCGTTTGGTCACTTCGAAAATGGGCTGGGGTGATATACACCCCAGCCATCATCGAGAGGGTTGAGTGACAAGAAAGAAGAAGAAGAAGAAGAAGAAGAAGAAGAAGAAGAAGAAGAAGAAGAAGAAGAAGAAGAAGAAGAAGAAGAAGAAGAAGAAGAAGAAGAAGAAGAAGAAGAAGAAGAAGAAGAAGAAGAAGAAGAAGAAGAAGAAGGGGAGCCAGAGCCAGAATCAGAAGCTTATGGAAGAAAGAAAAACTCATCAGAACCTGAGAGAAACGGGAAAGAGATAAGGGCTTGGTGTGGGACCAGTAAAACCTGCTAGCGAGGGCTGGCAGTTGAAGTACGAACAGGAAGGCACTCCCGGGGGCTCAAGCTATGTACCGTACCTGCCCGTTCACATCACAGACTGCTTTTTTGTCCACCATGGAACCTACTAGAATCAGATGGCATGCTTTCGTAGATCTCTGAAAGAAGTACACCGTACAATCATTACCATGCCCATCTGGTTTAAAGTCAATCAATAGATTAAGCTTACTACGTGACAAGTGCATGCTTCATAGTCTATTTACATCCGAGTAATTGAAGGCACGTATGTTGAGAGGAGCAAGAAACCTGGGCATCTAGCACGATATTTCCACGAACCCTTTCGACTAGAACATATAGGACAAGGTGTGCTTTGCCTTAGAATGGGTTGGACCTGGTGGTAAAAGAGAGCCAGATCATGGGGCTCGCCTCCGCTGCCACTGGTTGCTGAATTGTGTTCCTGATCCCTTGGCCTATCAACACAAGAAGATTTCTCCGAAAGATGACCGTGGAATTTTGCATGAAATTTGGTTCTAGATCATATCTAGGAATGGCCACTGCCATTCATGAGGAAAGAGGAACTAGCAAACTCGGGCCAAAATCCAGCTTATCCCCCGTATGCTCGTGAGTTCCGTATCTCTGGTTCTCAACCTCATCGGCACTAGCAAACCTATATGAACGACACTCTAGTATAAGAAGAGCCAAACAGTCAGCTATCGAATAAATTTGAGGCTAGGCCGCATAAGTCGAGAAGATAATAGGACGAGGATAACATACCGCAAACATCAAACCTTGGCCCCTCGACTAGAAATGCGATGAGGCCTCGGTGAGTAACAAGGAATATATTCTCATAAGAGGCGGAGAGGTTCATAAGGCGACGGCGAACTGTCTCGGCACGTAAGGTAGCACCCTCTACGCTATGCGGTGGGTAGTCCCATTCCTCAGGACACGAAGAGAAGTCGAACTGGGGAAATGCAGCTGCAATCTCGGCTCGGCCAACGCCTTTATTACAGATAGCGTCATGCGCCTCGCGCAGTTCTGGCCAAATCTGGACCTCCGTCTTTGCCGGCGCGGAGGATTCGTCCAAAAATTGTCGGAACGCAACTAGGGTAGTTTGGATCGTGCGAGTCATGGGGGAGACAATGATGAGATCGGGCTTTGCGGGGAGCAAGACTTTCTCGGCTTGCCTGATCCCATCTCCTGTCAAAGAAGGGTCTCGGTAAGGATAGGGCTTCACGACACTGCGGAAAGAAATCAGGATTAGACCATCTGTCGCATACTTTGTTGGTAGCCTTAAACTTACTTGTGACGAGCTTCTCCGTGACGTAAGATATGAATAGTCGCCATGGATGCACTCATCTTTCTTAGATACTCGCGTATTGCAATTCACTTGCGATCGTAAATGGGGGTTGTTTGGTTTGTGTGAAGCTGTGTAATGCAGAGCAGAGCAGGTTAAAGTCAGCCAGTTACAGCAGCCAGAGTTAAGTGCAGATCCCAAGCACGTGATTCCACTCGACTCGCTCACCTTCAGTCACCGCCAGGACACAAATGCGGTTGTGTCCACTCGTCACTTTTCATCAGGTTCTGTCAATCCATCTTTGCATTTGCACTTACCGGCTTTCTCTTTAATATCTCGCTCCCACGGGAACCTTGTATGGACTGCGACCTCAAAATGGCGGTATATTGCCTCCGATCTAATATCCTGACGGAAGACTCGCCCTAATCCCTTTACATGAAATCGAAGCAAATTGAGCAACATTGTAACGAAAAATCCTAATTTCAAATTCCTCTTCACGCTGTCGCTAATATTCGGTGTAGAATGAGCCAGAACCCTACATTCACAGTACCAGTGTCCACCTATATGATGCACACTGTCTCTGTCTCGCAAGAATCCAAAAGCTGAAAACCTCCGCCCTGTTGATAGTACGAGTTGAATGCACCCACCCGATAAAATCGGTCCTCTTGGGGCGCCACGTGTAAAAGAAGGCCATAGACATCGATGTTTTCTCTTTTCGATAACTCGCCCTCGGGCAAGCTGCCAAGCGTTGACCCGACTGCTTTGCGCTGTGCCCGACTCTTTTTGGTATTCTCCCAATCTACTGATCCAATCACGATCAGCTTGAACTTACCCTCTAGCCTCGGATAAGCCCAATCGATGGCGCAAGACACTACTGTCCCATCCGGCAGACTAATTTCAACATGCCCTCTGTCAGCAGCATTTTGTGAGATTGTCGTATCCGAAAAGGTATATGTCGGAGCAGTGACCCTCAGTTGCGCATATGAGATTCGGCCAAATGGATTCTGACCCTGGATGTCCACGGTTACTTCAATATCGCAAAGGCTTTGAAAGCCTCCTCGAGTGTCCTGTACATTCCGGTATAGATCCATATCAACGACCCGCCGCCCGATCCATGACCAGGAAGGGGCAATGTATGGATTCCTCTGGCTTAATCTCTTAAGAAGATCGTTCATATGGGGAAAGCCTGATCCTGGGTGCCGACAATATGACCATATGAGCCCTCTTAACATGTCCCTTTTCCAGAGTCCGGCGACATATTCGTCCGCCAAAACGGTGGAAAAATACCTTGCGAGGCCTGATATTGCCGGCAGGGCGTCCTCGGGCTTTGTGAATTGCCTATCTGAATAAATGGGGGCGATACTCTTACCCCATTCATTGTATAATTCTTCGGGATCTGTCGCAACGCCGCGAAGAAGGAACTGCCACTGTATGCTCTCAGGCTCCTCATTCTCTGCAGCTGTTATCGACGGGCAGAGGAAGTGGACAAAGTGAAGCCCGAAGATAACTAGGCGCGCTGACATGACGTACTCTTGATGGGCCCAACCGCGTTGAAGCCAGCGGCTACTGGAAACGTCTGCGAGGAGATGGTTTGCGTTGACTTTGCCAATGACACAAGTCGAGTAGCGCAGCACATACGCGCCCTTGGCCTTTTCATTGAGAGATGACTGGAATGGGATGAGAATAGTTGGAGAAGGAGGCTGCAGGAAGCTCGTGTGGCAGGATGAGCCCAAGGAGCAGAAAGTGACAAAGGCATTGGAGTATACTATACCCATTCGACTTGCTTCTCGCTCCCAATCGGCAATGTCATCCTGGATGATGCAGAGACTGTCCACCCAGAGGAAAGGAATTTGAAACGCTCGAGCAACCTGCACAGCGTCCCTTATGGTTCCTGTCAAGAATTCAATTGGTATCCCCAATCGCATCCTCTCTTCTGATGCTCTTGTGGTTTTGAGCTGGTCTCGTGCATGAGACTCCAGCCCCCAGCAGTAACTCAAAGCTGCATATTTCGGAATTTCTTGTCCATTACGCGCAACTTCGGCGATGATCTGGTCTGCGTAGACCAGGCGAGGAATCGGCCCAGTAATATCCACCAGACGGGTTGGAAGAGATGAGGCATTTTCCCGATCTCCAGGTAAGCATTTACGTGAATGCCGGCCCTCAGAACAGTCCAGTATATGAGACGATATCCAATTCAGCTTCTGTTCCGTCAGGTGGTCAGTCTGCGTGGACGGCCATAGCCTCAGCCAGTCTGCACATGCATCGCCGGCAGAATCTGTACGTGGTAAACGTGGGATTAGCCCCGATGCAAGAGTCTCATGAGGGTCAAATGCATCCTTACCGACAGTTTCGTCAGATCCCACACTCAGAATGACCTCCATCTCAAGGTCCACATTGTTGTCGATGGTTTGGAAACCCCGCGCGTTCATAAAAAGGCCAACCACCAATGAGTCCAGCCCGTCACTGTCAAAGAATAGCCATGTGCCCCAGCGATAGTAGAGGAAAATGGAGACAGGGAGCTCTCGATCCCCCCGGTCTACGATCATGTCGCCTAATCGGCACTGAACGTCATCGGACAGCAAGAGGTGCTTGAGATAGCCGCAGAAGCCACAGCCATCTGCCGCGCCTTGGGTGAGCTCAGGGAGGTGCGGAAAAGTATCATCCAAGTCAAAGTCGAGTCGGAACTCGAACTCCTCATCACTTTCCTGCTGTTTTTCAGGGAGGTCGTAGCCTAGGAAGTCACCGTCTTTGGTCTTGACTCGTTTGAAGCCTTCAAATTCGGCATCGTCAAAAGCCACCACCTTGCAGCGCTCACAGAGTGAGGCTGGCTGGCGCGTGTTGAACAACGGCATGGGGCGCTCTGGTCACTGCGGGCTGAGACATTTCACAAGTACGCACTTCTTGTTCACAATATTGCATCCACAAGATCGGCCAGAATTTTAGGTGCCTGGACACCGAGTTCATCTGGCCAGGCAGAGGCTGACAAAGTCGCAATGGGGCGTTCTGGGAGGCTGTTTTCTGACCCCGCAGTGGCGAGTCGCTCAAGATAAAACGCTCACTGATGTGAGTAATAAAAGTGCTGTCCTTCCGTGCCAACACGGTGGTATTCTCTAATACCAAGGCTATCGGGATCAATCATTGCGTGTCCTCCGCCACCGCTCAGCCTACCAGACAGCTCAATTTGATCTTTGGGGGCGAGCATTGATTCACCTCCGACCGTCAATAGATCTGACTCAACATCGCTAATGAATGAAATGCCCATTCCACTTGATTCAAGGCCAGTATAATGATAACCCCTGATGAGATATCGATAGACCCCAAAATTATGCTGTGAAGCTCCGTCTTTCAATCCAGCTCACTACTCTCGACTATCCTAGGTCATGAAGCCATTGCTTAGTTTCGTGCGCGTGCTCAGATGCAGCTTCCATCCATGCGTGTCTTTAACAAGTTTCCCATACCTCTCGTCGGTGACAGCTGTACCGATGCCTCCAGAGAGGCTATTATCCATGTACTTGTCGCCAGAGCCTTGAAGCGCAAAGAGCTCCGCCATGTTTGAGCTTTTGACAACATCCACACCCAGTCGCGCGGTTTGGACAAAAACGACAACCTGGAATACAAGAGCCAGAGCAATTTGTACGACCAGGAAAGAAAGCCACTCCCATCGAATGACGATCATGTTGACTCGCTCATAAGTCTTGCTGCCTTCCAGTGCTACGGGCTCGTTCCTTGTCCGCAAGCTGCAAGACTATCAGTTCTCGATCATCAATCATCGTATTTGGATCAAACATACTAGGAGGTCATAGCGGAGGCCACATTGCCAAACAATTTATGGATGTTCCTCTCAGTAGCTTTGTCAATGTATTCTTCCGAGGTTTCGTACTTGCTTTCGTCCGCGCTGGAGTTGGACACCCACGTGTCACCATACAATTTCGAGAAGAGCTGTTTGGCGAGCATGGATGGCGAGCCTTGCTCAGTGTCCAGAGTTCCATCTGTTGTTGCATACTCTTTCCCCGCCGGGATACTGCCGTGTCGGTCATCAACCGTAGTGTTCCCGGAGATGACAGACGATCCAGAGATTTCTAGGATCATGCCCTCCAAATATCTCAAGGCTGGTACGCTGGTGATGTTGAATAACGTGTGCGGACCTTCTTCGGCTGCCAAACTGTAGGAAGCACTTCGGCCATCGGAAGTGTATCCTCCATAGTTGACCTTGGCTAGCTTAGTCGTTGACGAAACCATGGTCGCTTTGCCCCGGCTGTTCTCCGTAGTGACATTATAAGTCTTGACACAAAAGTGTAAGAAAATCTCAAAGGCCCTCGAGCAATTCGGAGACTGAGCCATTGGGTTGCTGTAGAGGAGGTGAAATTGAGAAAGTGCTGCACTCAAAACGTCGTCATTTCCCCAATTTCCATAGGTAGAAAGCCAGTAGGGCTGTTTGTGGTCCTTATGCCAATTGCTGAAGTCGCCTCTATCCACAGTTATATTCATTACCTTGTAATTCTTTCTATTCGAACTCAACATGGCTGGTAGTGCAAATGGATCGATAGTTCCAGACTTTGGTATCACAGCCCGGTATGAGCCTGCGTCTGGGGATTCGGAACGCTCAGAAATTAAAGCGTCGGTACCATTGCGCACTTTGTTGATGGGGTCGGGCAAGAGAGCGTAGGGGAGGGACGCCGGAAATGTGGGTCTTATAAAGTCGGTGCGTGTAGAGTTTAGTTTATGTGTGATGTTGAGTATGCTGTAACAGACGCCGAGAGAGTTGAACTGGGGCCATGAGCAATTAGTTGAGCCACATTTTAGCTCTGGTTCGGGCCATGGCTCATCAATGGGTTGTAGGAAGCCCTGAAAAGCTGCGTAAGAAAGTTTTTCCCTAACTTTCGATGGGAGTCCGATAAGTCTAACTGGATCCCAGCTTCGAGAAGATGTCAACAGTGTCAATATGTAGTAGTTTTACCAGGAACTCGACTTACAATCTTCCTGGCTTTCATTTCCGTTAATCCTTCCTGGGTACTCTGTGCTGATTGGAGCGAAAGCGCCGATGCTGGCATTTCCGCCCGGGCTGATGGGAACATCCTCTAGTCTATATTCGATTGCTGACTGGGTAACAGACGATGTTACCAGGCTCACAACTAATACCACGGATGCGGCTGACGCTAAAGGGATGAATCTGTGGTTTTTTTGCATCAGCAAGATATAAGTCTCCCCAAAGCGGTGCAATTGGTGTTGTACCTTCCACGTAGTCTCAAAAGTAAGCGCACCGACCAAAATGGCCAGCGGCTGGCTTGATCAAAAAGGTAGAGATCCCTCAACGGCCTCACATGCAAAGACATCCAATTCCACTTGAGCTGAGATAAGGCTTCGGTTACCGGGACCATCATCGTTGCCCAGCAGATAGTAGAAAGAAACGCTACGATGGTGTTGAGAGTAAGCCCAAATCGCCAGCTTGGTGCTGGTTTCCCGTCGAACTTGTAGAGAAGAACAACCAACGCGACGAGTATCATGATAGAAAGCATGGAAAATACCCACTCCGTGACCCAGAATTTGAGGTGGGTGGACAAGCCTTTTCGTTATTTGGATTCGGCCGTCTCTTTAGGCTTCTTTCGTTGTTTGGATTCGGCCGTCTCTTTGGGCTCCTTTCTCGGCTCTGTGGTGCTAGCTCCAATCTCAGCGGAGTGTATTGTCGACAAGCCTTGGTTGCAATACTCACTAGGTGATCGACATAATCCAGAAGAGGACTCATTATCAATCATATTAGGGTTATTTTGAAGGAAGCCGACAGACACCTCGGCATCTTGGAGCGCAGTGTGGCCGTTCAGATTCTGTTGATGTTGCATCAAATGAGCATACTCATTAACTTGCTCGGTCTGACTTGCTTTGGACATTTTACGAGTTGTGATTTCAATTTAGAGCAAAAAGGTACTGTTGTATTCCAAGGTGTGGAAGTATGCAGAATTAGAAAATGTCCAGAGGCCTCAGAACTCAAGGCAAAGCTCACGAAAACAACTCAGCCCCTTCTAAATGCGTAAAGGAGGCAGTGATGGAACTTTCGTAATCGCATGAACAGCTTGACTGATTGGACCAAATAGAACTTTTGGTTCGTATAGGGTCGCGTTGCAGATGACCGCAGGCAGAATGGAACTTTGGCATTTCAAAGATATCCTCGCATAAATTACTACCTTTTTTTAACATCTAGAGTACCAGTAGCTCATAGAATTCAGTTGCTCTAGTTCATGATCTCGGGGTTCTTCATTGTTACAAGTTCTAAGGGTTGTCGTGGAAGTTTTACTTGCCTCAAAACAAAGACGAAGCGACGGAGCAGTCTATCCTTGATGGAACGTAGAGCTCGATAACGTTTGGATATCATTTCAAGTATACAAAGTCACGTATCCCGCATTTTCCCACCAACGAGGGCTTAGAAACTGTTTTTGCCTAATACTTCTTAACAATTAGAAGAAATTATGCCTAAATTCTGTGATCTTATTTTACTGCAGTTTTCTTCCAATTCTGTCGACAGATCAAGGGCATTTCTCTAAAGGTCTACTTTATTGCATGTATTCATCAATCATGTTTTACTGACCGGTTGATTTTACGTCTTAGACGTTTATGGTGGTGGTGTCATGCCACATGGGTTCCGAGGTTGACTAGGTGTCCCACCCAACTCTAACTCTTTGATGCTCGACTAATACCGCTCACAATCAATTTGGCTATTGGCAAATTGCTCGATGACTGCAATCCTACGAAAGTCTTGACGATTTCTCAGTCCCGCCTTTGTCTCCCCTATTCCCGTGCTACCGACAATATAACATACTGCTATCTTGAAGTCAAGAGTTATGATAGTCAACAGCCTTGGGGATGTACTTTTAAAAATTACAGTCCCTATCCAGCTCCCCAAGAGAATACTTCTTTCTAGCGAGTGTGAAATGGCGGAGTACAGGGGGCTTGTTACTGTGCAAGAGAATTATCTGTACACGCCTTATCAATTTGGCATACAGCTGGCTCAGTGAACGATCTGACAGCCCATCCCAAAGAGAGCTAAAGTGACATTCAAAGGTCAAGTCTGCCTCACCTTGCAGAGCACAGATATCTCGTCTGGCCCATGACCACCCAGAAGAAGCACTATCGGTGCGGCTGTAAACCATTTGCCACCTGGTTTCTGCCTTTCCAGCACCCATCACACTGGTATCTGAATCTGGACCACTAGTTTTGCGCAAGAGTGTCATGCGCTGACACAATGAGAGGTAGGAGCTGAACAATGTAAATCTGCCAGGGGGACAACCACTACGCAAACGCCAATCAGGCTGACCAAAATGTATCCACAAACCAATAGTTCATCGCTAGTCTGATGCATTGACAGAGCTGCAGATTGTCTATACTTGTTTCGAAGCCTGGTTACTGAAAGAGAGTATAAATGGGTTTGTATCGCTTGTAAAAATATCGCTTTGTCTGACATTTATTTGGGAAACTTCCAGTCATCTTCGAGCCTCAATCAATCAATTACACTATTATACAAACCCGACATAATTATGTACCATCAAGTCGCAAACCCAATATCGACGAGAGCTTCAACAGGCAATGAGGTAGCAGCCCAAGATCTCTATGGGCTGGGTGTTCGTGTCGGGATTTACCTCCAAGCAATCGGCATGTGTCTCTCTGTCCTCCGACTCCAAGCCAACTCCTTCAAAATCACTTGTTCAGGGCTTACAGTCGCCATCCTTGTCTGCTGGACTCGCCTGGTTGTTGACAAGGAAATATCGCCCGCCGAGGCATTCCTCATCATTCTTCTTACATCAGTGCTCAGTTATCCCGCTCTAAGTTCTATCTTATGCCCCAACGCTCTTGTCGGGGAAAGCCTCGGCATTATCACGACTTGCGTTGCGAATATATGGCATGGGATTGCACTGATCGTATTCTGGGCCGTCCTGTACAATAAACTGCCAGCACTCGGAACTCCAAATAAGGTGTTTCTATTTGCGCCATGGAGAATGGATGGGGGGTTTCGGATATTCGCACTCATCTTCTCCGTGATTAATTTCATGGCCATCATGGTTACTGTAGCAATGTCGGCAATCCTGCTGGGGACGTCTTTCTTGAATTGGAAGTATGAAAGAGAGGATTCTTTAGGATACAGATGGACAGGGCGGTTCGAAGGAGCTGCGCGTATCTCTGCGGCGGCTTCAATCATCCCCATTGTCATCTTCATCGTATCTATTGAGATGGACATCAAAGCGAACGGTCTAACTCCCACTCAACAACTCTCTCAACCGGGGCAAGCTATCCCTCTTGCTATTGGGGCCATTACTTTCTTGGATTGTTTTCTAGCTCTGATTGGCACTCCAAATGATGATGATGGCTTGGAATGGGTCAAGGATAAAATACGTGATATATATCTGCGTTGGTAGCCAACAATAATCCATTGAATCTTTATATTGGCTATGTCGAGCATTGTCATTAACAGTGAGTGACTCTCAACTGACCAATCGCCAGATGCCCTACACAGTTCCTTTGGATGGATGGCCAAAGTTGTTTTTTCTAAGGTTGAAGAAGCACTGCGGCCATCTCCTTGAGCAGCGCATCCAATGACTTGTTCTTCATCAGATAGAACTCATGGAATAAGAATGTGCACAAGTCTGAATCATGTTCAGAAATATATATGCATGGTCAGGAGGAAATAACCTGGGCTGCACAGGTTATGATGAATGATGGGTATTCTTTGATTAATCGAGAAATGAGACACCTAACGGAACATTGGTTATAAATAGACTGCTTTCCAAGATGGGATCAAAAAATTCAGTAGTATAAAATGGAATAAAATGACAATATACGCCGTGTTGTCTCTCAAGTATATATTATTGGCACCTAACAATTTAATAGTACCGGTCGCAGGTTAGAAAACGAGCAGCTTAACGCCCTGGTTGTTACGAATAAATGGGACCATCCAACCATCCTCCTAATCTAAGTTTCACCAAGCGGTCCAGCTCAGTAGATCCATCCGTCTGTATGCCCTTCCCATCCATGTCCCGGAGCAACTTGTCGATATAATCCCCTGCTGCAGAGAGATTGAGGATATGAGCAATATCACTGTGGGGTGCGAGAAGCCGAGGAGAAGGAGGGTGGATTGTCCGAGAATCAGCTAGATAGAGCGCCCGAGTGATAGGAAAGGCTGGATCTCGCAGGAGAGTTGGGGGATCAAACCCCGTCATCATCTCGAGCATCATCGCCATCTCTTTCCATTCGCTTGTCTGCCTCTCCCAGGTCAAACTTGCGTGAGATCACACAGCGATGGCGGTCCCGGATGAGACAGGCACCGCGAAGAGCTGCCAGCCGGTCTGTTGTCCCAACAACGGCTTCAGCGTCTCCTCCTTGCACTCCCTAAATGGCGGAATGGAATACGGGGGAGGGCTGGGGGTTCCGTTTTGATGAGGCTTTCACTAGGAGATATCAGTGACGATCAAGCGATGAGGAGGCCAATATATAGACTTACGAGGAAGAAAGAAATTGTCCAGCAGATAATCTGCAAAGCCAAGAAAGGGGGACCGCAGATTATCGACACCTACATCTTCCTCGCTCCCGTCTATTGAGAGAGCCATGGCCCGAGAGAAGGCCTGCAGGAAGTTGTCCCGAGACTCCTCGGAAAGTGCATAATCATAGATAGGGTGGACAAGTCGAGGGCAGCTATAATCACCATTGCTGCGACGGCTACTTGCAGCCTCAAAATGCTCGACGATATGGTAAAGCCTGCGCTTGGCGTCAGTACGCTGATCTGTTCCAAGGATCGGCTCGACTCCCTCGAGGGAGGACTGATGACGGTGGAGAGGTACTTGGCGGGCCTGGATTAGCCGGCCCCCCTACCGTAGGTAAGGGGTCAACGAGTAGCAATTTCAGCCACTCGCCAAAAAAAAGGCGACTTTGTTTTGTTAGATATATCCACTTGCAAGGAAGTACACTTACCCTATACTAGACCTACAAAATCTGCTATAGGGTAGGACCCCTTAAAAGTGACGTGATTATCCATACATACTAAATTAATTGACTCACAAGTCGCTTTTTCTTTTACAAGTCGCTGGCGAAATTGCTGCTCGTTGACCCGTTACCGTAGGTAGGGGCTGCGGGCCGGCTACCTAATCTAGGCCCGCCAAGTAATGAAGGGGCAACCACCAATTACCAACAGGTCAATTGCTGACTAAGCATTTGGGTCCCCAACCAATGGAGTCGAGTCGAGCGTTGGACTCAACACAACATCAAAACAATTAATACAGTAATGAGCACAAAACCAAGCTAAATATTGTAGAATACTTTATTATTCTCCTCTTGTTATTAGATTCAGGACTATTGATAAGAAAATACAAGAACCCCGCCTTAAGTGAAAAAGAGCCATGTTTTACATCAGCGCTCGCACGAAGTTAGTGGAGCAACTTCGATCGCGTTTACGTTTTTCCTGGGCCACCGGCTAAACTGTAATTCCGGACACCGGATAGACCCAGCCTTAGTGTGTGCCATTCTTAACACGACCAAGATAGTACGGTGCTAACGACGACTCTACCGCCATTAGACGCGTCGAGCTATACCACTGATGTTCTGATAAAGCAAACTTAGTTCTTTCCTCCGGTGTTTTTTCAATGCCTGTCCTGCCACCACTCGATCCCCCTCCTAGCAATCCCGCTAGCTAACGCCGTTACGTCGACATCCGACATCCTGCCTACCCCCAGAGCGAGCAGCCGTTGCTGCGCTTCGGTGCTATCGACGGCGACAATAATGACGGGGTTGGCTTCGATATAGCCCTGGTCGCTAGTGGGATCATCACCGGCAATACGTGGCCGTCTGGGTGCCTTGCACAGAAGGATGACAGGGGGGTTTTTGTGAGACCGGTTGGAGAGTGGCATTCTTCAAGGGCACGAGTATTACTACTTTGTCGATGAACATGAACCCAACTGTAAGCCTACTGGGGGCGAGCTAATTCCGCCTAGTTCCTGTCCTAGCTACAACATCGTCCAAATCATCCCAACTTGTGGATACTGACAGGCCCGCGTATCTAGACAAGTACCCAGTCATCCCTTCATTCGACCACTGGCGTTTCCCACATGGCAACCTCCCCGCCATCTGGAAGGAGGCCATTATCCCACCCGCGCCGAGACTCCCATCTCTTGAGAAGAAGATTGCTGCGCTGGCGCGGGACACAACATGTCGTATCTCGAGATATGGAGGCGCGATCGAGGTGGCCCATTTTGTGCCCACGGCGGATGAAAAGTGGTTCTTGTCGAATACTATGGATAGGTATTGTTGCCATACCCCACAGACTGTCATTCTTACCCTTGCTAATACTGTCTGCCTAGGTACGGCTCTTCCGGCTCCGATCCTCAGCCAATCGACGACCCAAGCAACTTGATTACACTCCGCCGTGATCTCCACCATCTCTTCAATACCACCCGTCGCTTCACGTTTGTCCCGAAACGAGATGTACCCGACAAGGCTCGGTGCCTCGCACCCCACGTCTTTTCTCCGGACGACAATAACGAGGTCGCCCATATCTACCACAACCGTTCTCCCCCCCCCCCTCATGCATTGCTATCGAGCATGTCTTTGCACGCTTCGCTTGGACGATCTTCTCCGACCAGACCGCGCGCTTCTTCATGGGCATGGCTGAGTATGCGACTCTCTTGTTTGATCCAAAGACGGACGAGATTAAAGAAGTCAAGTTGAGGGCGCTTGACGTGCAGACTCAGTTTGAGATTTTTGATGCGTTCCCGAAGAGTCGCAGCGCGAGTTCAAGAAAGAGGCAGCAAGGTCCGTCTGCGCAAGACGATGAATTCTCGGTAGCAGAGGAGGAAGGCGATGCTTCCATTCCTCACAACTTAAAAGCACTGTTGGAATTGGGTCATCCACCCCGGTCAACTGACTCGGTTCGGAGTGAGGGCCAGGGCGCTGCTGTGAGGAGGGTAAGAATCCCAACGAGGCCTCCCGACCCTTCCGAGGGGGCTGAAGCATTTCAGCTAGCTTTACATTGGAAGTTTTCTCACGAGGCGGGCCGCTCATGCAAGCGCATCGACACGGAGTCAACCAAGGGATGAGCATGTATTATAGTAGCCCAGGAACCCTTGAACTCTTAAATCCTACCTACCATACGGCAATTTCATGCAGAGAGAATTCCAGCCACATAATAATTCATTGTGCATAGAGTGCCTACCTATACAAAGGTGTTGAGTTGATGCAGTATATTTTCTCGCACGTTGCTCAATACAGTAGCTAGGTACCGCCTACCTTCAGCTCCATGCTAGGCGACCGTCAAATGGCTGGATTTGCTGCGGCTGGATATGCTCTGTGGCTGGATTCGCTGTGTGGCTGTGATCGCTACTCAGCACAAAATACTGAGCCTAACCTATACCCAGTATTTTTCCTCTCCAAGAGTGTGACGAGAGCTCTCTCGAGCGCGCAACCGGTTGGTAATCAGACAATTTGCATCTTTCCTTCAATTCTAGTAGAGTTCATTGAAGATTGTAGGCTGTAATCACTAAAGACGGGCGCTGAAGCGGAAGAGGTGCTCTGATTGAAGTCGTACGTACATCACATAAGGGTGGCTCCTGCCACTTACACGGTGATGTTGATTCACTGAAAATTAATTGCCCCCACGAACTAACCAATTACCACTCCCAAAAATCCCAGACATCAACGAGAAACATTCGACCATGCGAAAAAATTATCGAGAAAAGTGAAGTATCGCACACGAGAGTTTCTCCGGCCCCGGCGCGCGGCAGCAGCCAGTATTCGCTCCACAAAGGCTTGAATTTTTGCTAATTACGCCTTATTAGATGCTACGGTTCCCCGACGAATTACAGTCCCACCGAGCGAGCAGCTGGTGCGCCATCTTCAGCCCCAAGACGAGTGTATGAGCCAAGAGTATGTGTCAATTGGTGGTCGGAGATTTGAATCGAGATATACCCTCGAAATGACAAGAGATTAAATGCCTTCTCTCTGGCAAAGACGCGTCTTCGATCCGAATACTACCAGCCGCTACTCTCCGAGAAAATGCTAGCCTAAACGAACTACTCCCTTTCTTTCTTTGCATATATTCTTGCAATAAACAGACCATTCACGATGACTGTGGCGGGACAACAGTTGGCCATGGTCCTTGGCCGACTGGGATACCAAGTCGCGTCCCAGGCAAACGCGTTCGTGAAGAGAGCTTGGCCAAGAATGGTCGTCTTTGGCTCGAAATGGGTGCGTCCGCTCTAAACTGGACATCTCTGGCTTGTCTTTCTAATTTTAACCACCTAGGCCTGGACGCGGCCCACCTGGCTATCCATGTCGTTCACCATGACAGTAATCAGCAGCTTATTATTAGTAACCTGCGTCGTCGCGCGGCGGATCTCTCACTGACCGAACGAGGCCAGCCCACGCTTTAGGTCTAGCCTTGAGTGTAGGGCCAATAACACTCCTAGCTTTCAATGGAGTTCCGTCACTGGTCCCCAGTTCACGCCTTAGTCCAGCATCAACAAACCACTCCAGCTCCGGCCGCCGATGGCCTCACGGCGTGGATTCGATTGTTCCCGCAACGCATGAAGAGAATATATATATTGGAACGCTGCCTACGATTCACAATCTGTTTGCCACCATCGCCACCATCTCCACCTCTTCCAAGCATCACTCTTCCAAGCACAGCCTTGAAGCCTTTCGAGCCTCGCAGATTGCATCCAGAATAACACAATTCTCTCGACAAGCACCCAAAAGAGTCTCTGAGATGTCTCCCTTCAAAGTTCTCGCTGCTCTGGCGCTTCTCGCCTCTCAGGCTGTTGCTCACCCTATGGGACACTCTCATCAGTTTGCCCACGGGCATCTGAGTGTTCGTGCTCCCGGCCACACCCATTAAGCTAGATGCTTTGGCAGGGGTTGTTCCAAATGAACTGGTTTTCATTACGTCTAGATGACGAGTGAACTTTCTTATTAGCACTATTTCAGTTTCTCTTCGACTTCACGTTTCAGCTTGAGCCTTTCGATTTTCAGCTTGAGTTTTTTTCCCTCTTCGATTTTTCGAACTTCAACTTTTTGCCATCTTCTTCAACCTCAACGTTATAGTTCCAGGCTTTTCTTTTTTTACCTGCAGCTTTTTTATCACATTGTTCAACTTTCAAGCTTAGGCTTTTTCTTCAGCTTCACTTCATCCTTCTTGGCTTAAGCCTTTTTTCACTTGCAACTTTTTGGCATCTTCTTCAACTTCAACTTTAGACCTCGAGCCTTTTTCTTCTTCTTCTTTTTCTTTCAGCCCGAGCTTCTTCATCAACTTCCGGTTTTCAGCCTAAGCCTCTTCTACTTTTTTGGCTTCAGCTGTTTCTTTTAGCTTCACTTATCTTCAATTCTTGGACTTCACTTCTTGGAACTCAAATTCCCAGCCTCGGCCTCTTCTTTGACTTACTTTCGGCGCGGGCTTCTTCAACTCCTTGTCTTAACTCAAGCCTCTGGATTTTCCAGATTCAGATTCTTGAACAACTTTCAACTTCAGTTCGATTCTTCAACTTTGGATTTCCACTTCTCTTTTCAACTATTTTACTCTCTTCGGGTTTTCGACTCTTCAATTCAACAACCTTCTTCGATTCTTCAGCTTTCTTCAATTCTTCAGCTTCTCTTCAATTCTTCAGCTTCTCTTCAATTCTTCAGCTTCTCTTCAATTCTTCGGCTTCTCTTCAATTCTTCAGCCTTTTTTCAATTTTCCAATTCTTCGGCTTCTCTTCAATTCTTCAATTTCTCTTCGATTTTTCTACTTCTCTTCAATTCTTCTTCGATTCACCTTTTCTTGGTCCTTTTTCTTCTCTTCTTCTTTCCATTTCTCATTTTAGCGGGTTTTTCATTTGCCTTCTGCTTTTATCTGCTACAGCGTCATCGCTTTGTTCTTTGTTCCGATCTTCTGTTTATTCTTTTCATTCCATGTTCTGCTTCCTTAGTTAAAATACCCTGGTGAAAATACATTTTCTTTCTTCATTACCACTCTAAGCTTCTCGTACGAAAATTGCCTGTGAATGCATATCATCATCATTACTCGACCCCTGTGATGACGCTCGACTTTCAAAGATTTAGCATGGATTGGTATCTGACCGTAAGATGATACTAAGCTCTCAGATTATCGTTCATATCCAATGCATATCCAATGGAGTCTATCGTTTGAAGGATATATGATTCTATTTTAGACATGAATGGGATCGACCTCGCTTGAACCATCTTTGACAGCTATCACTATAGAGGAGATCACATGTCGGATGTGAATACCGTGTTTAAGTGGGAAAGTTACCCGCTTGCCGGATGGTGTACTCTCATATAAGCGAGCAACGTGTGAGGTTAGGCAGTGATGGAAGTATAGCTGATGAACATGTTTTTCAACTTTTTTGCCAGGTACTTTTGGAGTGATCGAGCATTTCGTATGTTGATGCGACGAGGGAGTATAAAATGAACTCAACGTTTAGGTAGGTTGTATTGAGTCGGTGCCTACTTGTGACAAGGTTGAACCCGCGTGAAGCACTTGATCTTACAAATAGAAAACCTACACAATTTCTTCTTCTTATTATATGATCTTGAAAACAAATAAAAGCCTCATCCCTCTAAAGACGAATCTTTGCGTACCTGTTCTGGATGACTATAATACAAGCTGAGGAATCGACGAACTATTTGATTTATGAGGATGCACAAAGTCTAAGCCTTCTCCTTATTACTATCTATTTCTCGGCCCTTGGCTCTAGTGATTTCTATCTCAGCCCTTAGTTTTGGGCCGATTACTTGTCCTTTAGGAAGTAAGTGTTGTATGTAGTCATTGTGTTGAGATGTCGGGTCTGGCCTCCTCCATTGCTGTCTTTTGCTTTACACTCAAACTCTCTCGCATCCAGTATGTGCCATATTGTATTGCATCGCATTATACCTATTCCCAACCTCCCACAACCCCCCCTTCGGCTGGAGGTGGAGCAGGCGCAAACTGAGGCTGTTGCGCTCCGTACAGCGCCAGAACCAAAAGATTCGCAGCTTGGCTATCTTTGCCTTCCACCTTCCCCCTCTCAATTCCCCTGCCATGCCGTACTCGTAACCGCAGCAGGTCTCCAACGCTCTGTTTAAGAGCACCTCTGTGAGAGAGCGACTCTACTTAAGATTTTGGAAAGAGCAGGAGTACCCGTTGTTCGTGGAATTGAACAGCCTCTGGTTGAGAGAACAATGTAGATAAGGGAAGTCAGGGTAGACTGCGGCATATTGGCTCTCGCCGGCCGCCTGCGCGATCCTCACCACCGGGTCTCGGCCCATCCTGGCATTCCATTCCTTCACTTGTCCTCAGCGGCCAGGCTCGGTAGGTCGTTATGACTGTGTCAACGGTTGCCTCTGGCTGAACCTTCAATTCAGCTGGCTCCAAGTCTCGGGCCGCGAGATTGATCGTCAATATTTCGGCCTCGGATTCCGGGGACTCGTCTACCTCGTCGTCGGAGAAGTCGTGGGCTTCGCGTCTCCGACGCTTTTCTTCCTCGAAACATTGCGCCCGCCAATATTCTGGCGGGCATGCCTGTCTGAGCGTCATTTCAACCCTCATGCCCCCTATAGGCTTTCGTATTCATTGAGTTGAGTTGTCGCGCCCTGGCAACTTTCATTGCTGTCGAACTTTATTCTCTTTCTCCTACATATCCTGAAGCCCTCAGGGGTATGTATCCGCATAAGGACCACAGTGCCGTCTGGGCTTATACCATCTCGGTTTGAGCTTGGCGCAGTTACCTTACCGGATCCGCAGGGCTTCATAGCCAGATAGCTATTCGCTGCGTTGAGTTGTCGGGCCCTGGCAGCTTCATTGTTGTTTTGTTAAACTTTATTCTCTTTCTCTGCCGTATAGCCAGATCGCGAAGGTCACCGAGACTTCAGACGTGTCTTTCCAGCCTCTCGGCTCAAGATGGATGAGAAATACTCGATCTTTGCCGGAGCAAGTGCGAGGCTGATCCCCCAGATGATGAGTTCGCTCGCAAGGAAAAGAACAACGACGTATAGGATGGCCGTGATCTCCCTGATGGCAGCCCGGAACCTAGACCTCCAAATGGTTGATACTATGGGGCTTGTA